CTGGACTCCCCATCGAAGGGGCCATCAAAGATCGTGAGGAAGAGAACGGCGATCCTGGCGTTGACGGAAGGGATGGAGAATACCCCTAGATATTTGCTACTGGCGTTTGATTATGTGTGGAATGTATATTGAGACTTGATTCCACTGTGATTTTATTTGTTATGCTTCATTCGTGATGCCTTTCGTCTTACCTTGAGTGAAATGTCTTAGATGTGAACATGGAAGCAACGGAACGAGATGGCGCAAGGAATTTACAGCATAAATTCATCTACGGTACTAACGTCGACCCTGTGTAGCCGCAGTAACTTGCGCCCACCAATCATTAATCCCCTCAACATCACACCAGTCCATCTCAATCGGATTCTCAAACCACCACCGTCCATTCTTGCGATCACTCTCATACTTCTTCAAACTCCCGCCATCAAAACGATGATTCTTCACACCCACTAGTAACACCGCACTTCCAACACGAGGAGTGAAAGCTTCTGGATTCAAAAAGACTGTGAGGTGGACTTGCTTTGAAGTAGAGGGGTCTGCGAGGCGTACACTTCGCTGTCGATACGGTGGGATATTCGAGGGTTCAATGGCGGAGAGGTAGGATACTATGGCGAGGACGTTGCAGGACCAGTTTTGGGCGTAAGGTAGGTGGGGGATTTGGCGGAGGGTGGTGAGCTTGAGGGGAGTTTGGGGATCGTGCCAGTCTCGAGGGAGGGCGATGGCTTGGTGGGATGTCGGTGTCTCTTGGGTTATCGCAGTTATTTGTGGAGTTTGTGGTCTTTGGGGAACCTCAGTCTTTTGTGGTGTCTGTGGCTTTCGCGATACCTCCACCTTCTGTGGTGTTTGTGGTTTCAGTGAAGGTCCTGCTTTTTGCGGCGTCTTCGGTTTCTGCAGTGTCTCTATCTTTTGTGGTGTTCGCGGCTTCTTCCAAAGTGTTGCCTTGACTGGTGTCTGCGGCTTCGGAAGTGCCACCGTCTTTCGTGGAGACTCAGTCTTTTGAAGTGGAGGTGCCTTCTGGGGTGTCTTGGGTCTGTTGGGATTCATGAGTCTCTCAAAGGCTTCGAATGCTTCTTCAGCGGCTGCTTCGTCGACATCGTCAAACTCCATGTAATCCTCGAAGCCTGACTTAGGGGGCCCATTGGGAAACTCGGGCTGATTAGGAGCCGTCTTGACCTCTGTCTCAGGTTCTGGTGCTGGTTTGGACTGAGCCGCCAATTTTGCTTGAAGTGCTGGTGCCGGAATCTGTGCGGGTAGAGGTTCATCATTCTTCTGGAGCGCTCTATATGTTTCGTTCCAACCGACAGTAATAAGATCCCTCACCAACAGCATCACCATGCTATCCTCACCAACGTCCTTCCACTTGACATCGAACTTCTCACACCGGACATAAGCTCCCAAGGCGATCTCACCCGTGGTGACGAAGCGGTGCATATCAGGCGCTATTATCGCCTGAATGCAGAACTCTCCATCACCGAGAAGAAGTCGAATGACCTGCCATCTTCCTGATCTTGAGACAGAGATGTGATCAACGCGCTCGACAAGAAAGATGCTTCCGGGGACACAGTACTTTGTGCGTAGAATCTCACTGACAAGGGGTCTGAGTTCGAACGGTTCGCCTAGAAAAGTGTTGGCGGCGGGGTTGAGCTTCAGCGATCTTTCAGGCATGTGTGATGACCCATCTGTTGTTGGTGACGGTGTTGATGAGATGAGATGAGTAAGTGCTGAGTTAGCTTACAAGCGTGAATGAGGTCAGTATGCAGTTATCCACTATTTACTCAAAGCGGGGTTTGTTCACAGAACACTCATCACCTCAACACAACCCAAGATGAACAGTCCGTACGCCAAAGAACTCACCGTCGCTATTGGCGCTTTGCAAAAAGCTGCTCAATTGAGTCAATCAATTGTTGCTGACAAGGACAAAGGCGCAATTGAGAAAGATGACTTGAGTCCCGTTACAGTCGCCGATTTCGCGGTGCAGGCGCTCCTCACAGCGACGATCAAGAATGCGTTTCCAGAGGACAAAGTCGTGGGAGAGGAAGATGCCTCGGATTTGAGGCAGAATTCTGTGTTGATGGAGAGGGTTTGGCAGCTTTTGGAGGGTGTTGCTGGGGATGAGGATACAGTGTCGCTGTGCAAGTTGCCTGAGAGCAGGGAGCAGATGTGTGATCTCATTGATGAGTGTGGAGCTAGTAGCCCGTCTGCCACTGGGAGAACTTGGGTGTTTGATCCGATTGATGGGACAAAGACTTATCTGCTCGGTCAGCTTTATGCTATCAATATGGCCTTGCTCGTGGACGGTGAACAGACTGTTGGGATCGTTGGTGCGCCAAATTTGTCAATTGATGCAAAGGCACCCCTCAAGAACGAATACATTGATACCAAGGGTGAAGGATGTATCTTCTTCGCTGTCAAAGGTCACGGCGCTTACATCCGCCCCCTACGATCTGAGCAACCCATAAAACTCCCTCTTTACA